TGATAACTGAATAAAATAAAATAAAATAAAATAAAATAAAATAAAAATTGCCTTGGCTACTAACTGAAATAAAATAAATGTAAATTGAAGTAATAAAATTACTAAAACTAAAACTGAAATAAAACTAAATTAAAGCTAAATTATCAAAACTTAAAGTCAAATGAAAACTGAAAATATAAAAATAAAAGCTAATTCAAAATATTATATATATATATATATATATATATATATATAATATTTTGAATTAGCTTTTATTTTTATATTTTCAGTTTTCATTTGACTTTAAGTTTTGATAATTTAGCTTTAATTTAGTTTTATTTCAGTTTTAGTTTTAGTAATTTTATTACTTCAACTTCAACTTAAAGTACTAAAACACTTTATTCAGAGATAGTGAGATGTGAGCATACTGAACCTCTAGTTTTATGGCTTGCTTAAAGGCCACTGGTAGAGGAAAGAGTGAGAAAATTAGCACCATCTTTAGAGGTGTGACAGAGAATCTGTTTATGTGAAAGCAGACTTCACAGCAGACTTATGCCACTACACATCAGTTTTCTTCAGCAAAAAGAGAGTGAGGAAGAAAAAGCCATAGAAGGAGTGAGGGAAGAGTATGAAAAAGAACAATAAAGTTCTGAAACAAGACACAGCTGCTAGTCTTTCCTCAGTCGGCTTTCAGACAGGGATATGGCTGCTATATGTACTTAAGAAGCAAGAATGTTCTTAAACAAGAATGTTAAACAAGTATGAAGGAACAGATTTACTGCACATTCATCTAGGTCAACAGGTCATCACATTTTTCACAGGTTCAAGAGCTGAAAATGTAAAAACAATAAAAATAATAGTACTTTAAATTATTATTTAAGTGCTGACCACCACTTAAAGGAGCACTTTGTTTTTTTGTTTTTTTTTTACTTCGTTATTTTGACTTCCCATTAACATTCAACTCTAACCCATATTTTCCCATATTTTTTTATATACCCTGCCATTCAAGGTTTGGGGTCAGTAAGATTTTTTTTTTTAAAGAAATGAATATTTTTATTCACCAAGAATGCAATAAACTGATCAAAAGTGACAGTAAAGACATTTATAATATTACACAAGATTTCCATTTCAAAGAATCTTGATTGCCACAAAAATATTAAGCAGCACAACTTTTTCAACACTGATAATAAGAAATGTTTCCTGAGCAGCAAATCACATGTGACACTGAAGACTGGAGTAATGACTGATGAAAATTCAGCTTTGCCATCATAGGAATACATTACATTTCAAAACAGATTAAAATAGAAATCCATTGTTTTAAATTGTTGAGGACTTCTTAAGAGGAAAAAAAGGTTTGTAGACAAAGACAATCTGTCCAGAGTTACTGGTAACACTATTTTAAGGACAACTTCCCACTACTAACTAGTTGCTTATTAGCATGCATATTACTAGCATACTGGCTGTTTATTAGAACTTATAAAGCACATATTAATGACTTATTCTGCATCACCATATTTTAAATCTCTTAATCCACCCTATACCTAAATTTAACAACTACCTAACTAACTATTAATATGCAGCAAATTGGCAGTTTATTGAGGGAAAACTCTTAATAGTAAACATGTGTTCCCTATTATAAATTGTTACCGATTTACTTGTCTCTAATGTCTTGGAGACCTTGTTCAGCAATTTTGTCCCAACAAGTATAGTTAGACACACACACACACACACACAAACTCTTACCTGTTTGCTGGGTGATGGTGATGGGTTCGCTCTCTCCGTTTTCTGTGACTGTGGTGACGGTTATGTCATAATCAATACCAGGCTCCAGACCGTGCACAGTATAAAAGGCTGTCGTGGGCTCCACAAATTCAACAAAGATTGGGACACTGTCCCCAGCAGCCAACACCGTAATGCGGTAGCCGGTAACGGCGGTGGAGTTAAGAGGACTCCAGCTGAGGCCGATAGTGGAGTCAGTGATGTTGATGAAGCTAAGGTCAGTTATTTTGGGCACATCTGGAGGAGAGAAGGTACCAGAGGCCCGACACAGACATAGACACAACACAGAAAGACAGAGATAAGTCATCTGACTGAAAAACAGATCATTGGTTCATATTGTGAATACTGAACCATGGAGATGAGTGTTAGGAATTTGTGATATGAGAATAGTATCACAAATTCATATATGCCATTTTTTCATAAACTGACCAAAAATGTGAAATGAAATTGAGCTCTTATGTTCTGTTTGCCCAAATCAACTGACTAGGATTAATGCTGACAACAGAAACATATGCTTTATTGAAAATTGCTCTGAAAGCAATGTGTATTCAGTAATCTCTCTGTTCTCTGTATTTAATGTCTCAATAGACATTAAAAGCAAGTACTGCACTGATTACAATCCACATGCTTTCCCAGTTTATGCATAGTTACTGACAAAAAAATTATTGAGGTGAGGGGTGATTTGTGTTTCAAAAAGCTCTAATACCTACCCGGAGTCACAGTGGTGGAGACAGGAACACTCTCCATGTCATCCTTCACAGTAAACACGCTGATATTGTACTCCACTCCTGGACTCAGATTCTCTAGCGTGCATGAGTTCTGTCCTGCCTTCACAAACTCCTCTATAGAGTTCCCTTGTTGCCCTTTGGTGGGAGTGCAGGTCACTCTGTAACCCGTGATGTCTGTGGGAACAGAACAAGGGTTACCAAGGGAAGACCAAGCAGTATTTGAGAAAGGACAGAACATACTTCCATTACAAAGTGTTCCTGCATTTATTTTTTTTTAGACCAAATGAATTTCCATGACTTTTCAGTGACCTTTCTAGTTGTTTGTATGCAATTACTGGAACATTGGGATTAATGTATTTGGAACATTATGAACTGGTTTGAGCGATTTTATTGAAAACAATCAACTAAAGAGAATGATTCACTCAGAAATCAATTTCTTGTTGATGAATTAAAAAAACTAGAAATTAAGTGAAACTAGAAAATATATATATTCACTGTAGAAATTCCCATTACTTTTATTCATTTCAATTACTATTATATATAATAAATATATATTATTTATGATTATAATAAGGGTTAGGGTTAGGTTAGGTTAGGGTTAGGGTTATATACACACTACCGTTCAAAAGTTTGGGATCAGTAAGATTTATTTGTTTTGAAAATAAGTCTTTTGTTCTCACAAAAGCTGCATTAATTTCACAGTAAAAACATTAATATTGTGAAATATTATTACAATTTAAAATAACTGATTTCTATTTGAATATATTTTAATATGTAATTTATTCATGTGATAGCACAGCTTAATTCTCAGCATCATTGCTCCAGTCTTCAGTCTCACATGATCCTTCAGAAATCATTCTAATTTGCTGATTTTCTGCTCAAGAAACATTTCTCAATATTATCAATGCTGAAAACAATTGTGCTGCTTAATGTATTTGTGGAAATTGTTATACATATTTTAGGATTCTTTGATGAATACAAAGTTCAAAAGATCAGCATTTATTTAAAATATAATAATATTTAGTACATAGTAATATTATAAATGCCTTTACTGTCAATTTTGATCTATTTAATGTGTTCATGCTAAATAAAAATAATAATTTTCAGAAAAACAGAAATTAAGCATTAGCGTTAGTTCTGGCAGGTCACGTGAGTCAAGCTTGCATCAGCTGATTCTCAGCTGATCACATCTACCTATAGGAATACGACACCTATCGCGGCATTCCTATATAAGCTCTATTCAGTATTATTCAGCAGCTTTTCAGCTTGCTCAGGAGCAAATTACCCTCCTCCATCCCCAGCTCCTCCTTTCGCCACAGTCAGGACTTGGCTTTCTGATATTCTTTGCTAATCAGACTCCTTTATCTTGAATAAAGTGTTACACTTAAATATCAAGTGCATTAATGATATCTGTCTTGTTCTGTTCTGTTAACCCTAGGGGGTTATTATTGCTGCTCTCCCTGCTCATTCATGACAGGCTGCATGGATGGGCAGGGAGTTTTTTGCCCAGAACAGAACCATACCGCCAAACCAAACTTTATGCTAAGTATCTATCAGTTTGACGATAGTGGTCCTGACAGAAGTGTATTTTTGTATTCGAAGTTTAAAAAGCACATATAAAACAGAATTTGTTCCATTATGAGGAATATCTCGGTACTAACCTGGGATTTTAGCATCGTTCCATTGAACGGTCAGCTCTCCAGTGTTCGGGTTGGACTCCAGGTTCAGATCCGTGGGTGGAGACAGAGCTGTAGACAGAGAGACAGACAGTCATAAGACAGCTGCACAACTCCACCAACAGTGTGAGAAACTTCTCTCTCACACTCCCACATCTTCAATGAGCTCAGTATAATAAGGACAGAGAAATGCTGTTTCTTCACACTTACGAGTGACCACACGTCGAGTGATGGGGTTACCATGCTCAAGACCATCGAAGACTGGCTGGACGCTGTAGGTGTACTCAACTCCAGGAGTTAGACCTGAGATGAGGACACTACCAGACTCTGAGATCATGTCCTTTGGAGCTTCTCCACCTTGGCTGGGCCTCACGGTCAACTGCAGAGCAGACTTAGAGATTAAACACTGTGATTGATCATGACTGAAATGTGTGTAAACGTGAGAGAGAAGAATGTCAAAAGTCAGTTTCTCAAGAGTACTTTCACATGTGTCTCACACCGGCCATTAAACCAAAGAGTGATCGCCTACAGCTGTGCTCTGGTATGTTTTAACGGTACCTTGTATCCAATTTTAGGCGCAGGGGTCCAGAAGACAATGATGGAGGTGTCTGTGACATCAGTGCTGAAGGAAGGAGCATTTCTCATGGGCTGAACTGAAAGACAGAAAATACAGGACTATTGCTTTAGCACTCTATATTTATATGATTTGCTTAGAACAAGCAAATATATTTGGAACCCTTTTTTTTTTTTTTTACAAAAGTAACTCACATGTGGTGAAGGTGGCGAGGGATCCCTCACTAAGCACAGTGCCTCTTTCTGCATGCAGGGTGGCAGTGTATTCAGCATCAGGCTGCAAGTTGAGGAGTGTGTACTGAGACAGGCGGGCAGGAATACGCAGCTGTTTGGGGTTTGAGCCCTCGACAGTCAGGAAAAGTCTGTAACCTGTGATTTGAGCCTTAGGAGCTGACCAGATGATTACAGCACTGTCTTCGGTAACGTTTGTGAAATGAATATCGGTGGGTGGGTCGGGCTCTGTGAAGAGAAAGATGTACAGGGTTAGTATGCATCACACTGCCAAAAATAATAGAAACAGTTAGGCAAGATGTTTAGTATTGTGCAATTATCAATCTGGTTATGTTATATTGTTAGGTTATATGTTATGTATCATTTTTTGTAAATGTATTATGCAAAGTTGATTTAGAAGCCTAGTTTTTGCAGTATAGAGATACTCTTTGGTCATTTTCTCACTTGTAGCTTGCTCTCCAACCAGCGGCTCACTCTCTTCTCCTGATTTGAGAGCAAAGATGAAGAACCGGTAGAGGGTTCCAGGCTGGAGGTGTGTGATCTCAGCGTAAGCGTTCTGTGTCACTGGAAAGGGGAGTTCTCTCTCGACCAACCCATCTGGACCAACCTCGCCCACAGACACACGGTACCCTGACACCACTGTGGATGGTCCGGTCCAAGTGATTGTGATCTTAGAGTCAGACACTTCAAAGAACTGCAGATCGGTTGGAGAGGGGACTTCCTCTGTGAGTAGAAAACTTTTTTTTTTCTTTCAGACTACATGGATAAAGTTTCATGCTACCATAACACTTGCTCCTCAACAAAACCTTTTTCTACCTCTCGAGTCATAAAACCTGATTCTGACCTTCCTTTGAAGGGCTTAACTTTATTGTAGCCTCTCATTTAAACATGGCAATCAAAGTGTTTACCATTCTGTAAAGCTTGCTCATCTGAGCAAAGGAATTTAGACAACCTACAGACAGACCAGCCGGCCTGACAGGGAAAATACGCAGCTGTTTGGGGTTTGAGCCCTCGACAGTCAGGAAAAGTCTGTAACCTGTGATTTGAGCCTTAGGAGCTGACCAGATGATTACAGCACTGTCTTCGGTAACGTTTGTGAAATGAATATCGGTGGGTGGGTCGGGCTCTGTGAAGAGAAAGATGTACAGGGTTAGTATGCATCACACTGCCAAAAATAATAGAAACAGTTAGGCAAGATGTTTAGTATTGTGCAATTATCAATCTGGTTATGTTATATTGTTAGGTTATATGTTATGTATCATTTTTTGTAAATGTATTATGCAAAGTTGATTTAGAAGCCTAGTTTTTGCAGTATAGAGATACTCTTTGGTCATTTTCTCACTTGTAGCTTGCTCTCCAACCAGCGGCTCACTCTCTTCTCCTGATTTGAGAGCAAAGATGAAGAACCGGTAGAGGGTTCCAGGCTGGAGGTGTGTGATCTCAGCGTAAGCGTTCTGTGTCACTGGAAAGGGGAGTTCTCTCTCGACCAACCCATCTGGACCAACCTCGCCCACAGACACACGGTACCCTGACACCACTGTGGATGGTCCGGTCCAAGTGATTGTGATCTTAGAGTCAGACACTTCAAAGAACTGCAGATCGGTTGGAGAGGGGACTTCCTCTGTGAGTAGAAAACTTTTTTTTTTCTTTCAGACTACATGGATAAAGTTTCATGCTACCATAACACTTGCTCCTCAACAAAACCTTTTTCTACCTCTCGAGTCATAAAACCTGATTCTGACCTTCCTTTGAAGGGCTTAACTTTATTGTAGCCTCTCATTTAAACATGGCAATCAAAGTGTTTACCATTCTGTAAAGCTTGCTCATCTGAGCAAAGGAATTTAGACAACCTACAGACAGACCAGCCGGCCTGACAGGGAAAGAATAATAAACTTTCCGGATTGTTTGTTTTAGAACCAGCCATAATGTTTCACCATCAAAACCTGATGGCATGTGAAGCTAAAATGTTGGTGGAACCAATTTTGTAGCATTTGCATCATCAAGATTACGTAGAAGAATACTATAAAAGTCAATGTGGGTATAAACACCAGGCAAATGTCAGTTTTGTAAAGTTGCAATGTTTGCTGATTTGCCAGATCAGAATTAAACAGTCAGCACTCTGAAATTTTCTCCCAGCCAGTCCCCATAAAAATATTACCCTATAAGGGATTCACAGGCATTTGGACGCCGACTAGCTGACTCAACTCAAATGTGATCTTATCTTTGGGCTGCCAGACAAAACACCTAAATCTAGTCAAAAGAAAACAATAAAAGACATTTATGGCTTGATGACATCATGTTATGTTTCCACCGCACTAAAGAGATCAGACCATTTGTTAAACAGAAGTTATTATCTTCAGACGTATCCTGACACACATTTGAGGTCAAGTAACACATCTCTTTTCTAAAAATGAGGGTGAATCTCATAAAACCAGTCAAGAACAGATCTAGATTGTAATTCACTCCAAAAACCAAAATAAATATAAAGTTATATTTAATAAAACAGAGGCCTATTTTAGGAACATTACAGCTTTTTGTGTTGTCACCTCATGACAGTTAATCATATGTATTAATATTTAATTTTACATAACTTATTTCAAACGCTTTACACCAAAGATAATTTTTTATCATTAGGTATTATATTACTAATTTCCCTTTTTCGAGATTCACCAATGTATTCATTTCATACCTGCCAGTGGTTCTCCAGCAGTGGTGACCTGAACAAAAATAGGTTCACTCTCCAGATTCTCTTCCACCGAGTAGATGCTGATGTTATAGAGCAGACCAGGACGAAGGTTACCCAGGGTCAGTGATGTGGATGTGTTAGGCAGGTTCAGCTCAGTGCTACCAGAACTTCCCTCTTCAGATGGTGTGTAAACCACACGGTAACCTAAATAAACAAGACATACACTTGTTAGCATTTATTTTGTATACAAGTTGTGTATAGGTCACATAATGGTATGTTTTACTACAGGCTAAAAGACTGTGTTTACCTGTGATTGGAGCTACGGGTTTAGACCAGCTGATGAGGATGGAGGTCTCTCCCACCTCCTTCACTTCATGATTAGAAGGAGCATCAGGAGCTGTAGAAGCACAAGCCAAAAACATCACATTATCATCATGTGAAATACTGCAAGTGAGAGTATATGTCAGTGGCAATTGAACATCAACAAGAAACTGACTTTTTACAGCAGTGAAATTTCTCACATAAACACACTTTAGTTATAAGTAGGTAGACTCTATTTAATCTTTATGTATTATTTTATTTAGTTTTAATTAAGATGAATTTAAATATACAAGGCTACAACGTATCTAATGAATATTCAGAGCACCTAGAAATACATGAAGTCATACATGGTTCTTTCATGAGTTTTTGAAGAATTAGAAACAGGACAGGAGAAGCAGAGAGACCAAGAAAAAGCAAAAAAGACAGAGAGAAAAGGTTCACCTGTGGTCTGGGAAGTAGTAAGGATCAGGCTAGGTTCTCCTTCTCCTGTCACTTCATACACATTTACAGTGTACTTCCTTCCTGGGAGAAGTTCACTGATGTTTACGGATGTGGCCGTATGAGGGAGGTCTGGAAATGGATAATCAATTAGTAGGTATAATAAATATAGACGCATTCAACTTCTACAAATCAATTGTGGACAAAACAGCTGACTAAAACAAAAACGCCACACTTGTGATGCACATACTGACCCAAGACCATGGGCTGTCCAGTCTGCCCTCCCTCCTCACTCAACTCATATTCCACCCTGAATCCAGACACCGTGTCGGACGCAGACACCCAAGAGATGACGAAACTGCTGGAAGTGATCTCAGTCACAGACTCAGAGGTGTCCACCATCGGAGGAGGCGAGGTGGTCTCTCCCTCAGAGGCTGCCACTAGTGAAGAGATGGAAAGGGGAAAATTAGCAGACATAACTTCCAAACATTTGGATACAATTAATCCCATTCACAAACTTACTGATGAATTCAAGCATTAATTATGCTTGGAAATTGTGTGGTTTTATGCACAAATACATGCACGTGCACGTTTAGTGAATGAGACCCATTTGCACTGTTGGAAGACCTACATGAGCCATGCACGGTGGAGAAATCAAAGCGAGTGGTTTCTCTACGTCCAAAACTCAGGATGCTGATGAGGTGACCTTCGTAGGTGACTCCAGGCTTTAGTCCAGCAATGGTGTAAGAGTTCAGATGGCCTGGAATAGTGACCTCCATCCATTGGGTATGGGTATTTTTCTGTTCAAAAACGAGTAGGTTGATAATTTTTATTAGATAAATAACCTCTCTGATACAATCTGAACTCAATTTGGGGGCATGCAGCGTCACAAGAGACTCACCGGTCTCCACCTGAGTATGTACTGTGTGACGTGAGCAGAAGCCGGCACGTTCCATTGGATGGGGTGGGAGTTGGGCTGGTTGCCAGATTCTGATATAATCACCTGGGCTGGACGATGAACACCCGATAGAGATATATAAAAGATATTCAATATTTAAATCATATTTACAGCCAAGAGCACCTGTACTTGCAAAATATAATATTTAAAAATCTGAGAATATCATACTACACTCTAAAAAATACTGGGTTAAATATTAAAACATATAATATAAATATATATATACAACCCAATAGCTGGGTTTGTCCCTTTTTAACCCAGCATTTTTTAGAGTGTAGTACGCTCATCATGCTAATACTGTAACAACAAATAGAGTATTTGAAAAGTGTTTCCACAACTGGCATTTTGAGAACAAACGAAGATCTTTTCTGGTCTAAAAATACATTATGGTTGTCAGAGGTGTTCTAGGAAAGAGAAAAACAATGTTTGTAGCGTTACTGTGTTCTGTTCCTTTTGGGAAATGCAGAAATGGGAAACGTAGCACTAGCCTGTGAGATTCTTACCACAGACATGAGGACCACCACAGTCTCAGACTTATACATCTTTAAATTCAGCAGACAAACTGTTTTAACAATCACAACAGTTTAAAACCCCCAGCAACTTTTCTGAAGTAGTAAATATCTATTATTTGCCCAACAAATTTCCCAACACTGTATTTAAAACTTATTATTCTTCAAGTGTCTTGCAGTCTCATAAGGCAATATCCCCAAATTGCTTCCGATTTCAATCTGGCCCTCATTTTTCCCAATTACAGCCATGAGGGTAGTCTGTACAAAGCACTTAAAGTTCACTTAGTCTGCATTATGTTCCGCCAGCCTGCACCAGCTTCACCCCCACTGTCCCCAGCCTTCTCACAGCTGGCCGCCATTACTGAGAGATATCGCTCTGGGGTTGCTTCCACCCACTGAGCAAAGGGATCACTTCTGACCCCAACTAGCTCTTACAAAAAGGGAAAACTTTATTAATGCAGATCCTCGTCGGATCTCGTAGTGGAGATTTGTGGTTCTGTAGTGGATTCCCTGAATGAGTTTGTCCCAGGACTCTCCAATCTGATAGAACACTCTAGTCTCTGGCTCCTGGCACTGATCTGGAAATGGAAATCGGAGTAACACGGTCATTATCCAATCATTAGTTCGGTCATTTATAGGGAACAAGGCTAAAACTGCTGATCCTAAGGCTCCAATTTGGAGGAAAAGACACTTTAATTGTTTCAAGAAAATGTTCATTTAAGCAAATGAAGGCAAATGTCTCATTTCATTTCTAATTGATGAAATCTTAGAAGTGGCTGGCTCACCGATAGCGTCACACTTCCAGCGTCCACGGCCTTGACCGAAACAGGTGCAGTTCATCATGTAGCCTTCGTCATGCTGTTTAGTAAAAGTCTGATTTACTTCGTAGGTCAAATTATCCACAATGCACTGGTCTGAAGATGAAAAGACATATATGTACATTTACACACGGATGCATAATTTCATCCATTACAAATGGGAGAGAGAAATGACAACTCTCACCTTTGAGTTGCGAGTAGGCGATGCAGCTCCATTCTCCACGGCCACTGCCCACACATGTACAGCGCATCATGTGACCCAGAACATCATGGCGTCTGTCCCATTGATCTCCCACACGATACATCACACCCTCACCAGTGGTACACACCTCCTCATGGGCTGATGAAAACCGATCAACATTAACACTTACATCAGTAAACAGCAGAAATATATTTAATCATTCACTTGTAGCTCCTGTGATGTTGACATTGTTCACAAACTTCTAAATTATCCTGAACTGTCCTGAAAAAGATAACCAAACTTCAAGGCTGTTCAGTCAATGAGATGAGCATATATCTGTTTTGGGGACACTTGAGAACTTCCAAATTGCAACCCTCTAAATCCTTCAAAGAACAAGAATAAGCATGAAGTACAGCAGGAGCAATAATGGATCAATGGGAACTTGGCAACTATATACAGTATATATTAATATAGTGCTTTATACAATACAGATTGTTTCAAAGTAGCTTCACAGTAATAAACAAGAAAATAACAGTATTAATGATGCAAAGTTCTTGAATTATGAAACAAATACAATTTCAACCGTGAAGCAGATCTTGAAAGGCAATTGTGTCTATTCAGTTCAATTTAGCTCAATGCTGATTCAGATGAGTTCAGTGACAGTGTCAACATTGCAAAGTTCATTAAATCAATTTAACTAAAAAGCGGCTCAGAAGAAGTTTCATTATTTAAATCAATCAGTTCAGTGTTGATTCAGTTGAGTTCAATAATAGTGAAAGTTCATCAAATTAGGAAACAAACTTAATTCAGCAAAAAGTAGCTCTACAACATCAGAGTAAAAATTTTGTTTGAGGACAAAAAACCCAATCCAGTTAACTGAATTGTTTTTAATGGCCTAAAGAGATCAGTATAATTAATCAGTTAAGTAATTTGGGGGTCAATTAGGGTCAAACAGCTACAATTCAATCCTAATGACCATAGATCCAAAAAGCTCAAGGCAGTTCCTCATAATCAGCCTGGGATATCTCTGATTGGTGTATCTGGTAAATAAAAGGGGATGAGAGCGAGGAAATCTCTCCAAGGTTTAGAGTGGAGGAGGTTACACAGCCGACCCTGGAGACCAGCCAGATGTATATGCTCCACTGCCAACCAGACTCTGGTCCAAAGCCAACCTCCCCTCTGTCTGCAGTCCCGCACAGCCGAGGGGCCACGGCTATCACAGAAATGTGTGCTTGAACAATAGCTGAAGCTTCGAACATTAGTTTTTAACATTCAATACAGTAAGTAAAACCTACAAATCAAGATATTACTTGTACTGAAAACCAAAACTGTTGATGCTTGATAATTGTTCCTGTGTCGAGACAAGTATCTCTGCCACAAACACTATGGGGCAACACAAAGAGCAGCTCTGGTTTCAATCTATGTCAGGTCACTGAATCTCACCACTATCAATAAACTCCCCAGGATTTGCTTGGCTCTAACTGGCACCCTGGTGATAGAGAAACCCATCAAAGCTCAGTCAGAAGGAGGTGTTTATGTAAATATGGCTGAATATGTGCTGAGTGATCTTTTTTTCCACACAGTTAACATCCTCATCTTAACTATTATCAGATCTCCTCCCATACAGAGCACAAGGTGATTGAAAAAGCTGTGAGACGCATGTAATGACACTTAATTTATCTATTCAGTCTTTTTGCTAATATGCCCAAAGTAAGGAAAAGTATGGGGCCTGGAATGCGGTGTTTAAGAGAAGTTTAAGATAAAATGATGTGCTCAAGGCACGTTATTAAGATCCAGGACCATTAGAGGGCTAAAGTGCTTTCATTACATTAGAATTCTCCATCTTCCTATGTTCCAAGCTCCTGTCAAGTCCTAACATGTTACCCTCTCTTTCTCTCTGGCTCCAACATTTATTGCTAGTGCAAAACTGGCACTTACCTGCCATGGGACAGAAGCCAAACCGCTGCTCTCGGTCATTGTTATAAGTTGTGCCGCACCATTTCATGCCATCTCTCCTGCCGTCAGCGGTGCAGTCAGTGTAGTTACGGCCATTGTAAAGGTATGGGAAGTGACAGAGTGCACCATTGGAATTTCCCCCTCTGGTTGTGACCATAACTAAAAAGTAATGTAATGATAAGAAATGTTTCTTGAAAACAAAATCAGCATATTATAATGCTTTTTGAAGGATCATGAGACTGAAGACTGGAGTAATAATGCTGAAAATTCAGTTTTGCCATAACAGGATTTTTTTATTTAACTGCTTTTACTGTATTTTTGATCAAATAGAAACAGCTTTGGTGAGCATAAGAGACTTCAGAAACATTAAAAATTTTACTGACCACAAACTTTTTCAGGAATGTTTATAAACTTACCATTATTGCTGGTACAGAAGGAGTACTTGTAGTCTTTCTCAAAGTCGGATGAGGTGCTGCACCAGAGCTGCCCATCACTGCGTCCCTCAGACGTGCAGGAGTAGAACGTTTTCCCCATGAACACAAAAGGAAACACACACGGCTGGCCACCAGAGCTCCCACCATACACCTGGAACTGGCTCTCTGCACACACACACACACAAGCACAGCATTCAATCTAAATGAACACTGATCATTTTATCAACAATGACATAAACGTGATAAATCAAGACACTAACCTGGCGCTTCACAGCTGACACCGTTCCCCAAGCAGGTACACAACATCTGTTTGCTGCCCTGGGTCTTGATCCAGCGCATGCCCAGGGTGTAGGAAACACCTGCGTCTGTCAGACAGGATCCCTCAGTGGGGTGTTCAGGCACCGCCTGTGGCTGGTACACTGCAGGCTGGACATTGGTCACCACACGAGACCCAGTACCTAGTGCACAAAATAACACATGAGGATACATGTTTTGCCTCAACCAGGCTGCCAGGGCCCACTAGGGGGCCTCTACAAACATCCAGGCACACCCCAAATAGTCTTAAAATTATTAAAATTGATTTATATCAAGATAATTTTAGCTAAAATACACTAAAATTCTGTGAAGGGGAAGATCATCAGTTAATCATCAGTTAATAATGATTTCTGCCTCTTGCACAAAGCAATTGTATTATTTCAAAACGCTTGTTATAGAGGGCACCGTTCACATTAATACAGACTTGTTTTTAGTGGGGGGGATGTCGCTTGACAGATGTGGTCACTATGAACTGTCACATGAAAATTGGCTGTGTGATAATTCTCCAAAAATACAGCAAGGGCTTGGAAATACATGAGAGTAAGCAAATAATGACAGAATGTTTTATCTTTAGGTCAGTGATACTTTTGTATTATTTCAATTATGACAACTCTTGGAACATTTTAGCATGGTGATGGATATGACATTGTTAATGTATTTGGTCTTGGCGGAACAGATCTGCTACGGTGCTGCTCAATTGCTGCTGCTGTTGGTTATTGCTGTAGTTGTAGATTATTGCTGCTGCTGCAAGCAAGTACAGGAACTTGCTACTGGCAATGCATATGGCGATACGGTGCCGTGAGTATTTAAGACATACTGCTGCTGCAAAAATAGCATATAAAATAACCCCGTAGCAGATCTATACAGGTGGAGCTGGGGAAGGTGAAGGGGCAGGAATCTCAAGTGAATGCTAGCCAGCCATATAAATGCAAGGCAGTAAGCTCATTGGCTGCATATGCAGCATGAACCAATCAGCTTGTGCCAAGTCGTTTAACTCTCTGAATATCATCAGTTACGTTAACACCCCGTTAGCCTGCGCCATCTAGAGTTTCATGACTGAACTATATATTTATATAATACTACAGTATTTTGAGTTAACCTTAACTTTTAATTTTAATTTTTAACTGAATATTTTTTTTAATTTGCCAGTTTTTTTCATTTTAAGGTTTTCATCTAATATATATATATTGTATTCAGATTTATTTCAATTAACAAAAATGTGAGGTTCTTACCCAGGCTAGTGGTGTGCAGTGAAGCATGTCTCTCGCATTTCCATTCTCCACGTCCATTTCCAGTACACAAACACTGTAGCACGTGCCCGCGAGAATCCGTCTTGCTCCACGTGTCTCCAATCCGGTAAGAAGTGCTTGTGTCCTGGTCGTTACAGCGATCTGTGATGCACACACAAACATACAAAGCAGATGTTTCTCATCAGAATCATGTTGCGGTTAAGCTCCTCTAAATAAACAATTTTTGAAAAACGCAGTAAGGTAAAACATTTTCCCCGCTTCTAGCCAGTGAAAAAGTCCTTGCGCTAAAGCCAGAGGGTTTAACTGCACTTTGAGTGGATAAATAAAGTGAAATCCAGTTGGACAGATGAGAGATTGGGAAAGGGAGTTTTGCGTGGTTTGGACTGTTCCATTATTCTAAAAAGGGTGGAGTTCTTACTTCTGGATGTGCATGTAATACGTCCACTTCCTTCTCCTAGGCAGGTGCAGTCCACGATCATCCAGCCTTGGTAGGGTTTCTCCCAGGTCTCACCAATCATGTAGGATGTGCCAGCTGCATTGTCATAACAGCGCTCCGCTATCAAGAAAAAGAAAAAAAAATAGTTTTAATAATATGATGATGTTAATACTATTACTTATATGATGTATCTCAGTTCCTTTCCATCATGTCCAAAACCACTATATTTAATTTAAAGAGCTCATTAAATCGCTTGATGATTGCAGTTTCTTGCCTGTGTCAGCATATTTCGTATTGAAACAGGAAATTTGGGTGGGACATATTGGAGGGATCAACCCAATTAAAAACAAAATAGCTGATTGTTTGCGACAAAGCCATGAACCATGACTTGATACTTACTAGCAGGTTACAGGTGGTATTAAGGGGAGGGACATTCTTATTCTAGAAAGCATTTGACTGGACAAAAATCTGTAGTGCATGATATAGTTTTGGTCAGTTTTAAATTGCGTATATTGGCTAAAAATTAATTTTCCTAATGTTTTGCTAAAGTATACTATCATCTATATCATATCAAACACAGACAAAAATCCACAAAATTCCTGGTTCTTTAAATGCTCAAACTCACCAACAGGTTTGCAGGTCCACTCTCCTTTCCCATTTCCCAAACAGACGCACTCCAGCATGTAGTCTCCAGTGTCATGGGGTCTCCTCCATGTGTCTCCAATTTTGTAGGAGTGCCCTCCCTCATGACAGCGGTCTACAACAGAGGCCAAGTAGGTAAACAGCAGCACAACTCCAAAAAGCATAATTTCCAAAGTGCCATTAGGTAAAGTGAAGGAAAGTTCCAGTCTACCCACTCGCAATGGTGCAGCTGATTTTCCCTCGGCCAGAGCCAATGCAAGTGCAGTCCCAGATCATCCCGTCCTTGGGCCTCTCGTAAGTCTCTCCGACCCGATAGGAGCGAGCGTTTACTTTATCATAGCAGGTTTCCTCAGCTGGGAACAGACATGGACTTTGTTCTTCATACTATTCAGAGTTAACACTTCAAACTTAAACTGGTCAAATGCAATATACTTTTACATGCATATAAATGGTTATTAATTTAACCAAGTTAGGAAATATTCATCCAAGTGCAGTACCCCAAGGGACAAAACCAATGTAAGACGACTCACCATCAGGCTTTGATTTACACTTTATACCAGAAACTCCATGACAAGTGCAGAGCAGTGTGCTGCCCAGATAACTGCGCTCCCACTGCTCTCCAACTCCATAAAGCTGACCATTCTCAACACAGTCATCTGCAGAGGACACAACAGAACCCTTCTGAGCAATATTTTAGAACCCTTCTCTACATAAACCTCGATCACACAAAGAAGAAAAGGAAGATCCCTTATGTACATTTTCCAGCGTTTAATTAACAATCTGCGTGCGTAAAACCCAAAATACGCTACTAAATTTACCGTATCAATGGATCAAAACAAAACGAACACATGGACAATCGCATACCTTGGGACACGGATGACACCGAGTGTTCCTGAGCTTGTCTCCTATGTTTCCCCGTTCCTTTCGGCATACACTGCACAGTGCAGGCGAGCAAAGCCACTGCCAACGCCGTGCCCAACGGGCCACCGGTCATTATTACAGGTGAGATGAAACACAAGTATACCGATAGATAAACCTTCCTTTCCTAGCAATGGAGGCTCGAGGAGACGCAGCAGTCCAGTGGCTGAGGGATTCAGATTCACCACAGCCTCTTCAAGTCTCCAGGTTCCCTCTCTGTGCGTTTCTCTTCCTGTGCGTCCTGCCCCTCCTGCTCTTGCGCGCACCTCTGTGGAGAGCTCAGACATGCGGAGCGCTTTTATTTGACCTCCACATTCCGCCCTGGAGGAGGAACTACCCCAGCACACGCGGAGGAGAGCCACACAGACAGATCCAATCTGAAGCTCGCTTTTTGCGTTCAAAGTTTAGGCTAATAATTAATTCAAAGCTAACACTTGCAAACAACCACTGCCAGTGCAGTCACATTTTGTTTCATAAATATTGTTGTGCCTCTAACCCAATACGCCAGTGTTCAGTAATTACCCAAATTTGTCAGTTTAAGAAAGCCTGTGACTGTACTAATCTAATAGATATCATGCTACATTTGGAGTGCAAAAAAATGTTCCATGTCCCATTCACAGATGGTTCAGGCCGTTGCATCCATCTGAAACCAATTATACAACTCTTAACTTTAATAACACTTCCCTGGTGGTAAAATAAAGTCATTCTCATTTTACTGCCACCCTTAGAACGAAATAAAGATTGAAAGAGGACTCATAAGACAGATGTAAGTAGGAAATAAAAGACAAATAAATTGCTATGACTTTCTTGGCTTTAGCTTAGTTTAGTAGTCCTTCAAGCAAGCCAAGAGGCTGAAATTTGAATATGTTCTTCTAAAGGCAACCATCTGATACTCTCTAAAGTTTCAAGACCCTGGGATATTCCTACATCTCATGGACTACTTGTAGAATACCTGCAAATGCATATATAAAGGCCTAGTGCAGCCGCTTTGACCTTTATAAATGTCTTCCCAGCAAGACTGAATCTTCAGTATGTTGTCAGTAATATAGAAAAAAACATTAGGCTCATTATTTTATTTGTACTAAACTTTAAAAAAAAAATGTTACACAGTTTTAAATTTTTTTTAGATTGAATCGTTGAATATGTTCCAAACGTGATAATAATGGTGTCAGTTAGCAGTGACCTTGCTGTGATTTAATATTAAAAATTTTTCCAAGTCAAAACTGTTGCTGAAATTAAGTTCATAGCCTCAGCTACTGGCATGTGTTGTGTTTATACTGTGAAACTATGTTTTTTTTTCTGTTACTTACAGCTTGATGGATCTACTTCTGTCTGTATGCCTTATCTTTAAGACTATCTTGCAGGTCATTCATGGAAATGTCAGCACCCTCTCATTTTAAAACTATACTCCTCTCTCTCTATGAATGGAGGCTGCTGTGCTGACAGAACTCCCATTTAAACATCATCAGACTAAAAAAAAATGCTTTCTGAGCTTTCTGTGTTTGTAATAATCATACCACCATGTAGTTCAATTCTTCATCTGATGAGAAGAGACAAATTGTCGCTTAACGGATGATTCAGTGATTTCCAGGCCAGATGTTTGGTTTGACTCATGCTTTATTCTACGTCTCCCCACTGCTCCCTCCGCAGTCGCTCTTTACCCTCCACCAAGATGAGTGTAATCTATGCTTATGAGCTGATATGCAAAATATCTCTCTTAATGGGCTTATAAAGACTTCTGTCCACAAAGTTTTAACGACATTTTACTCTTTAAACATCTCAGTTAATCCAGTTTTCTGCTTTGAATTCGGATGACTCTCTCAACACGTTGTTCTTGTGGTTTCTTAAAGCAGCCCATCTTGTCATCATTGAGGTATATGGTCTGTGTGAATCAGTTTTGATTTTCCCAAAATTTGTCTGTTTATGAGCACATGTTGAGGTTGGTCTTCCTGTGCTCTGGTTTCTCTCTGAACCCACTGGCAGTAGTGGGTAGCAAATGTTGTTCTTGTTTGGGGATTTTTGTGGAAAGTAGAGAGGTTTCAGAGATTGAACCTAAAGCTGCTGCATCATGGAGGTGAACGCACTAAGAGTGAATCCAGGACATATGACTCCTCTAACAAAGGTCTGGATATGTGAGCACATCTGGCTGCATTTGCGATGACTCAATGGCTGACTCAAAGCCAGTGTTTTTGTGCATAGCTGCATGACAATATTCCAGAAACAACCATAGTCCATGAAAATGCTGACAGTTGACAGACAGTTGACAGATGTGTTCAGGAAGGTTAAGTTTTCAAATAAAACTAACCAGGAGTAGTGGATAGAGAGATAATGGTTCTGTTTCTAAGACACAGTAAATAAAACAAAACAAACATTTTACAGATAAAAGTCATTTTAATGGGAAAACAATATTTAACAAATCTACTATTATAATTTGATAATTAGATTAAAAGTGCATGTTACCTATATGGTCAAAAGTACACAACCATTCAAAAGTTTGGGTTCAGTAAGATTTTGTCATATTTTTTAAATAAGGCTTACACTCACCATGACTGCATATATTTGATCAAAAATACAGTAAAATTGGTAATATTGTGAAATATTTTTACAATTTCAAATAAGTGTTTTCTTTTAGAATTATTAAAAGCTGAATTTTCAGCATCATTACTTCAGTCTTCAGTGACGCATGACTCTTCAGAAATCATTCTGATATGCTGATGTGACTATATTTTTGTGGAAACTGTGATATTTTTTTCAGGATTATTTGATGATTACTTTAAGAGAACAGCATTTATTTGAAATAAAAATAAGTAACAATATAAAATTTCTATACTGTCACTTTTGATGAATTTAATACAACCTTGCTGAATAAAAGTATTAAAAGTATTGCTGGAATTTCATGGAATCATGTTTTTGTAAGTAAATAAGCCCTCTTATTTATAGTGACACACTTGAAAAAATCATTCCCAGAAGAACCTATAAACCTATAACCTATATATTTTTTTTATATCAATATATACTGTATCTATTTGTATATAAGTTGCACTAAATACAACTGGATAAAACAAAAACTGTGTCCGCCTTCATTTCAGGCTGCAAAGCAAGGTACTTTCATACTTACTGCTCAAACAGTAAATAGCTGCCGGGTGCGATTTCCAAGATAGCCCCCAGCAAAATGATGTGCCTTAATGGAACAGGACTTTGATGATGTGTAGTCTAAGCCATTTTTAATCTCTACATCTCTGCTGCAGTATATGACATCATTCTCCCAGAGGAAAGGGGCGGGGTACAGCTGCAACCCCCATCAGTTTACCCAGACTGCACTAAACCCCTACAGCCCCCACCGAATCTACAAGATCACATCTAACTGCCGTTTTCTGCCTCCCAACACACTTTTTTCTAATGCCATCTGAAGTAGTTTTAGCTCTAGTAGGTGCGTGTTGTGGACCGAAGAGGGATGCACATGTATTATGTGCACTAAAATTAATATTTGTTTATTTTTTTAATTATGAAATGTGTGCAGTTTTCTTCTAAATAAAAATGCTAATCGTAGTACAATGCTTGTGTGGTATAGTTATCATCTATGGATCTGTCAGAAGTGGCAATGGGCAAAGGAAGCCACACATTTATAAATTTACTTGCCAGTTTCTAGTCGGTTAGAAGGGTGTTTGTTTATTTGAATAATTTGTCCATCATGCCAAAGCAGCTTCCGTTCTTATGTCATTGTTGTCTGTATGTCTCTGTGCACATGTGATTTTTGCAGTTTATTATAGAGCTGGTAAAAGGTCAGAGGGTAAAAATCTCATCACGTCTCAGACATATACTTTCTTTACTTTCATCACCAGGACAACCCAGATGTGCGTTTAGTCAGTGATGTCTCAGAATTTCCTTTCCATAGTCTGAAACGCTGCACGGAGGACGGAGGTTATCCCTAGTTACAGCAAAACACACAGAGAACTTTAGTGACAGGAATGCTTACTAAGTTGTTGAGTCACAGAAGACATTTTTTTTGTCATTACAGAGGAAAACTGCTACAGAAAAGAAAGTGGCTGGAGTTTGTGGGCGGAAGTTCACATAGATTTTTTTCCCAAAGCTTTGCTTTAAGGCAACACTGTTTTACACCCCTGAGAACACAATCTGCTAGTGATTTATGATTTAGCTTTGGCCAGACTTTTCCTTCATTAACCCTCATGTTCTGACTTCACTGTCTTATGTTTGGGGCCCCAGAGACCCCAGTTGATTTCCAAATATATCTTACAATGCATTTACATATACATTATATCATTATATATATATATATATATATATATACAAACATACACACACATATTTAGCTTTAACCCTTTGCTATATCACTAAATAGTCATGCAATTGTAAGAAATGTGACTGTTATCCTGTATATGTCTATAAGATTATGTTATATATGTCTGTTTGGGTTCAGCTTGACCAAACTTTTCAATTTTGCCACAGTGTGTTGCAGTGGTCACCATAAAAACTTCATAATGTAGCAATTCAAAACCTCAAAAAATCAAACATCAAAATAAACAACTAGGATTGCAATGCTTAGCGAACATCAATTAATCATACATAATAAGAATTAAATATTAATTGTAAATACTAATTAAATATGATATATTATTAGTACTAAAAAAGATTAGTAATACAAATTTATTACATTTATTTATATTTATCAAGGAACTTTAAGACCTAAGAATACAGAAACAACATGCAATTTTGCTGATGATCAGTTTTCATATAACTAGGAAAAGTCAAAAATTCTCAGTGTGATACTTTTGAGTATCAAAATCATCAGAAATTATCATTTTCAGGGCCTTGAGGTTCTTAAACAGAGCATAAGAGTTAATAAACAGAAGTTTCAAATATATATTTTGCATGTCTTTTTACTAAAGAAATGTTGCCTAATAACCTAATAACATAATGGTTCTGTCTTTAGGGGTGGAGTGAACAAACCACAGTGTTTTGCAACAATGGAAATGTTTTGTGGAAAGAGGAATGGGTGGAGGGGAAAACTCCTCAAATGAGGCCAGGGTGAATCCAGCAGAGCCCCTGCTGAGATGATAAGGTGACCCTTTATCCGTGATGAGAGGCACCTTCACCACTGATCACAATCTCATCCCAGACAGCCCTCTTTCACAAAACAATGGCTGATTATTTTTGTCCTGAGAGATGATCTGATATAGGCAGGTCACTGTTACCTGGGTCTACACCTACCTGCCTCCAGCTGCACTCAGTCCAC